CCCTATCAAACTTTTATGTAATTAATCAAACATTTTCCTTAACAAACTCCAAATTGGCAAAGAGTGTTAAAAGACCCTATCAAAACACCTACTCCACACAAACAGCAAAATAACTTACCCTGAAACGGAGCCAATGAAAACAACATGAAGTGTGGTCTCAATTGTCCTACCAGCTCAACAAACAGAACACACACTTTGGGCTCTCCCTAGTCCACCTGTCTATCCTACTCATAGGTGCACAAATATCTACCCCTTAAGTCTAGTCATGACTTCTTGATAAATTCTACAGTAAAACACACAAAGAGTGTTAAGTACTATAGTTTTTCTGAGAGTAAGATGATCAAGATTCTTATCTTCACATACCTGTAGAGTCAAGGCCTCTTAGCTCCATGTACAGAGATTAATCACAGGGCTGGCTCCTCTTAACAGACAAAACTGGACCTGCCAAGCTGGACATCGTGAATCCTGGATTCATCATTCAGTATCCTCCCACCCCCCAGCCCCCAAGTCTGACATACCAGGGGCAAACATCTCCTTTCATGCTATATTTTTCTTAGGAAGGAGAAAATAATAGCAAAACAGAATTCCCCCACCCATAACGTCACTTTCTTGCTAACCACAAATTCTGGCAAATCTGTTCAACATAATAGTGATTCAGTTAGTTCCTCTTTCTTCAAACACAGGGACACATTTTACCTTGCAAATTGTGTATGTGTGTTTAAGATAGTGCAGTTCAAAGACCAATAAAAAAAATATATGCATAGCTATTACTGTTATCAAAATAAACTATAACAGTAACCTAAAAAAAACATAATAAAAATGTAATACTGTTCAAATATTTGAAACCCCCTCTACAAAACAGATTTATTCTAGACACAAGGATGTAAAGAAACAATATTTTCTTCCCACCACAAATCTACTATTGAACTGTGTGTAATGGAAGGACAGGCAGGTTTTTTGCCATAATCCAGACAGTACTTTGAGGTATAATTTAATCATAGTCACTAGAAGTCTACAATAGTCAAATGTATACACATTTTAAGTGACAGAGTTCAGTGAATTCTGACAAATGTGACAGAATTCACCTTTCACTGTAAATATGAAACAGAATTCACAGCCAGACAAGAACTGGGAAGGGATGATGCTTAGAGCAAAGAGGACAAAGAAGTAGCACATGCACTTGAGGGTAGGAGGTCCCCATGGAGGAGCTGAGTTGTTGCGCAGAGTTCAGACTTAACCCCATAGGAAACGAGGAGGCACCACCGAGGTTTGGCAAAGACAAATGGCTGGGAGCTTCCTCCCTGAGTGGAATTTCTGGAATGCCATCGAATGAGCCACACGACAGAACTGCAGCTATTCTCCCTCATTCTAAACACTACATTTAGGTCCCAAGGGCTGTAGGAAAGCAGTTTCCACACACGATGGTAATTTTGTATGTATTTTTATCTGTGTATGATGCCGTGCCAAAGAATCAGGTTAGAAAACCACGCCCATATCACAGTCATTTTTTTCCCACTTATTCTAAATCACACAATCATTGTGCTTTATAACCTCAAAACAGGCCCTAAAATAAACTCTTACCCTGGAATGTGGAACAAAGTGTTCCAGTCAGCCAGATATTTTGACAGTTCTAATTTCAATATAAAATCCACAAAGACTTTATGTCCAAAATACAAAACAAACCCACAAGGAAATGGGCAAAAGATATGAACTGTCAGTTCAGAGTGTCCATACAAGGAGAGATTACCACAAGAAACTAAACTTCACTAATAATCAAGAAAACTAAAATTAAAACAAAAATGAAAAACTTTTGATTCTGCTATGCCTGAACCTCACTATTGAAGAAGTTATGGGAAAGGATAATTTAAATATATTGATATTAAAATCAAATAATTTTTATCACTTCTCAGCCTTTTAACTAAGTAAGATCCAGTATAAAAGTAAATAATTTGTTAGTTTTTGTTAAAACAAAAAATGTGCAAACCCTATGACATAGCAATTCCATTTCTTTGGGTGTCTACTTGTGGCAGGTGGAACAATGGTCCTCTCTCACTGCCCCCTTCCCCAATGATGTCTACATCCTAACCTCTGGAGCCTATGATTCTGTTAGATTACATAAGAGTTGTAAGGAAGTGGGCCCTCCTTGGTTGTGCAGCAGGTTAAAGCACAGCACTATGTAGCTAGCCACAACAGTTTCAAACTGAGTTCAATCCCCAGCCAGGAAGCTGACCCACATGGCACAGCAGACTTCTCCTGCCTGGCATGCAGCTCCTCTCAGCAATGTACTTCGTCAATCTGCCTATTCTGCTCTCCACTCTGTCTCTGGTTAATCCTCCTACTGCCGTTGTACCTCTGGCCTATACCCCAGTTCTGTATGCACAAATAAATTAAAAAAAAAGAGTTGTAGGGAAGTAAGGTTACACAGATAAAATTCAGTTTGCTTATCAGCTGACCTTGAAATAAGAGTTATGGCTGAGGGTAGATTACCCGGGAAGGCCCAATGTAATCACAGGGGTCCTTAAAACTGAAAGTAATAAACAAAAGATGGAAAAGATGACAGTATAAACTGTGGCTGTGGGAGAGCTGGGACCATCAATAAAAGAATGTGGGCAGCAAATGGAAGCTGATAAAGACCAGAACAGACTCCCCCAGAGCCTCTAGAAAGAATGTAGCCCTGCCCACACCTGGATTAAGCCTACTAAAATCATCTGTGGACTACTGACATCCAGAACAGATGATAAACCTGTATTGTTAAATCCACCAAGTTTGTGGAAGTTTGTTACAACACCACCCTAGGGAAACAGAGTCATATCAGCACAAGGAAGCATCTGTTTGCTAAACATATTTATGTGTAAAATAAAAAACAGAACTGAGAGAATCCGACCCAAATTGCCTATAGTCACCTCAGGTAAATAATAGGTGGCTGCAACTGGGGTGAGATTAACTTAATCTATCATGTTCTTCTCTTTTTAAGAAAATGTGCTTCTCCATATATTGCATAACTGGTAATTAAATTTTTTAGATCATTTACAGCTTAAGTTTCAAAGAATTAGACTTGTCTTAGAATGTATAAAATAATAGAGTACAATAAGTGCTGGAAACTATAATGAACAGAATTTTTTTCCTGAGGATTCCAAAGGGACTACAAAAACTTAAGCCTCATGGTTCCCACAATGAATGCTAACAATGGTAGCTAGTTGTATGGAGAGAAGAGGAAATTTGTTGTATATCCACAAGTCACAACTCCTTCAACAAGCCAAAATCGACCCTTACTAAACTGTGAGATAAACACATTTGTCTCTAGACAAAATCCATCCTCAAAAGCTTAGGTTTTCTGACTCCCAACCCAATCTCAGTTCCCACCATAACACACTCCCTCCACATTGTCCACTATGGCTCTGCAGTACAGTTTCCCAGCATAAAAAAGTGCTTGATCAACTTGGATGGAGCTGGAAAAGATCATGCTTAGTGAGATAAGACAGAAAGAGAAAGAAAAATACCGGATGGTTTCACTCATAGCAGGAGTATAATGGACCAGGCGAGAAAATAACA